CGGTAGGGGTAGCAACTGCCCCTACCATTAGGCCATGTGGGGAACATAGCGCTAGCCGGCAGGAGACTCCCACACCACATGTGCCTATGGCAGAGGTTGCAAGCCGGTGTCTAGATAGCTGCCCAGAGACTGCTTGTATTAGGGTCTCTCTAGACACCTCCCTCACAGGCGTAGCCGAAGAGTTGAAGGAGAGGAGGCCTGCCTGGGCCAAGATGAAGGAGAATAAAGGGCAGCTGATCTTACTAGATACAGAGATTTTTAGAGGTAGAGTAGGGGCCCTAGTAGACTCAGGGGCCACCCGCAGCTATATTAGTAAGAAGGCGCTGCAAAAGTTGAAGCTGGGACTTAAAGTCCAAAAGCTAGCAGACCCTATAGTTAGTATCCTCGTAGACAATCGTACCATGGTTGTAGAGGATTACGTAGAGGGAGTCCAGGCGTATTTTCGCCTAGAGAAGGATGGGAAAGTGGAAAAGGTCCTCCACTCCCTGACTCTCCTCGTAGAAGACAGCCTCCCATTTGATATTGTTCAGGGGATGGATTGGGGAGAGGCAGCCGGGGCCACGCTCCATTTGAAGGAGCACGAGTGTAGGCTCCCTAGTTCTTCAGGCGAGGCCAAGACTGCCCGCCTATTCCATGTGTCAGGAATAGAGAATCCCTTGGCACATTGCTGCCTTAGTGCTCCTGCGTTCGCCAGATTAGTAAAGAAGGAGAAACTGGAGGAACATGTTTTTGTCGCCTATGTTAGGCCGGTGACTGAGCCTACGGAAGAAAAGCCGATGGACCCTGCGATTGCCAAGCTGCTGAAAGAGTTCCAGGATCTAACTGAGCTGCCGATAGGAGTAGTACCGCAGCCCATCCAGCACCGCATTGAGATAGAGCCTAGCAGTAGAACTCCTAAGGGTGTTGTGTATAGGATGTCCCCACGGGAGTTAGAGGAGCTTCGCAAGCAATTAGACAAGCTCCTCGAGAAGGGTTGGATTAGGCCCAGTTCGTTTCCTTTTGGAGCACCTGTTCTCTTCGTTCCTAAGAAAGAGGGAGAGCTGAGGATGTGCATAGACTATAGGGGTCTGAATGCTATTACAGTAAAGAATGATGAGCCACTGTCTAGGATAGACGATCTCTTAGATCGAGTGCAGGGGGCGAAGTATTTTTCCAAGATAGATTTTAAGTCCGGGTATCATCAGATAGAAGTGCATCCTGATGATCAGTATAAGACAGCCTTCCGGACTAGATATGGGCACTATGAGTTCATAGTAATGCCCTTTGGGCTAACCAATGCGCCAGCTACATTCCAGCGCTGTATGAACGATTTGTTTAGGCCGTGGTTAGACAGATTTGTTGTAGTTTACCTAGATGACATTCTAGTGTTTAGCAGGACCCTCGAAGAGCATCAGGGTCATCTCAGGCAGGTCTTGGAGAAGCTGAGGGAAGCTAACTTCAAAATCAATGCAAACAAGTGCGATAAGGCGAAAACCCAAGTTTTGTACTTAGGCCACGTCTTAGACGGAGACGACATTAAACCAAAGGATAGCAAGATCGCAGCGATTAGAGATTGGCCCACACCACGCACGCTGACAGAGTTGCGCTCGTTCCTGGGCCTAGCTAATTACTACCGGAAGTTCGTGAGGTACTTCTCTACCATCACTGCGCCCCTTCGCAGACTACTGAGAAAGGAGACCATCTGGAAGTGGGATAAGGACTGCACGTTTGCCATGAAAAAGTTAAAGCAGGCATTGATAGATTATCCAGTCCTTAAAGTCGCCGATCCGTCTTTGCCCTTTGTCGTCACGACCGATGCGAGTCAATACGGCATAGGCGCAGTGTTACAGCAAGACGATGGCAATGGGTATAGACCAGTAGAGTTCATGTCCGCCAGAATGCCTTCAGAGAAGGTTGCGACATCCACCTATGAGAGAGAACTCTATGCTCTCAGGCAAGCCTTAGACCACTGGAAACACTACTTGCTTGGGAGGCACTTCAAAGTCTATTCCGACCATGAAACGTTACGATGGTTAAAGACGCAGGCCAAGATGACACCTAAGCTTACTAGGTGGGCCGCAGAGATAGATCAGTACGACTTCGAGCTCAAGCCTGTCAAGGGGAAGTACAATGTAGTCGCGGATGCTCTAAGTAGAAGAGTTGATTACTTTGGGGCAATAGTACATTACCTCGATATAGGGAAGGATCTGCAGCAGAAGGTTAGAGAAGCCTACGTGCAGGACCCTATCTACAGTGACCTCCTCAAGAAGGTCAAGGAGGCCCCAGAGACTGAACCGAACTACCGCACTACTGAGGGGTTGCTTTTTTAGAAGACTAATGTTTTTGACCGGCTGTGCATCCCCAATAGTGAAGAGATCCGTAGTTCGATTTTGGGGGAATGCCACGACACAGAGGGTCATTACGGTTGGCAAAAGACTTTAGCCAATCTGATGCGCGTGTATACCTGGCCGGGGATGAAGAATGACTGCGTAGAGTATGTTCGCAGTTGTAAGGTTTGCCAGCGCAACAAGAGTTCTACGCGCGCCCCGCTAGGTCTTCTCAGACCCTTGCCCATTCCGGATCAGCCGGGAGACTCAGTGTCCATAGACTTCATGGACACTCAAGTCAAGAGCAGGCATGGCAAGAGCCAAGTCATGGTCAGAGTTGACCGTTTTAGCAAGTACGCAGTTTTTGTTCCTTTGCCTTCAGAGGCGCATACTGACTTAGTAATACAAAGATTTTTTGACTGTTGGGTTAGTGAGAATGGGATCCCACTGTCAATAGTTAGCGATAGGGATAGTCGCTTTACTAGCCAGAACTGGCAAGAACTCATGGGAGTATATGGATCTAGATTGTTGATGTCGTTCGGCCGTCATCCAGAGACTAACGGTCAGACCGAGCAGATGAACAAGATCCTACAGCAAGTTTTGCGCATGTACATTAGGCCAGATCAGATTAACTGGGACGAGATGTTACCTAAAGTAGCTAGTGGGTATAATAACAGCGTGCATTTATCCACATGCCGCACTCCCAACGAACTGCACAAGTCCTTCAGACCGCGCAGACCGTTTGAGGGACTCAACCGGGATTAGATTCACAGATTGCCGCCCGGGACCAGGGAGTTTGCTGTACAGCACGAGAAAGAACTAGCTATTGTTATAGAGAACCTCATGAAAGCCCAGCATAGGATGATAGAGCAAGCAAACAGACATCGTCGCCCTTCACAGTTTCAGGTAGGCAACTTAGTCTGGGTCAGTTCTAAGGAGTTCGCACCTGAGGAGAACATCTCGCAGAAGTTACTGCCCACATATAGAGGACCGTGGCCCGTTCTAGAAGTCAAGGGCGGCGAAGATGGACCGTCCTATACCATAGAACTTCCAGCACACCTCCACACTTACCCAGTTTTCCATGCATCGAAGTTGTTACCTTGTCAGACGAGTGATCAGTTTCCATCCCGTAGATCAATGATCCCACCGGATATGGATGGGAGTTATGACATCGATGGTATAGTGGCCGAAGATGTTTTCAGATCTGGAGGTAGGGGTCGTCCGCAGAAACAGTACAAGGTTCATTTCAGTTATCAAGAACCGGAAGACGACCGCTGGTTTACAAGATCTGAACTTTTAGAGACAGCTCCCGATATAGTCCGGGCCTACGAGAGACAGCAAAGGGGTAAAGGTCCTGCCTTGGACTGAGATTTTCTCGGAGGACTCGAATTTAGGCCGGCGGGAGTGAAACGGTATTCACCAGTTCGCAGTAGTGAATGCAGATCCCAGGGCTCGATCCCAAGTTCTCATCTTACGTGCATACAGTATTGATGTCCACCCGTAGATTTGAACCTGCGACCTGTAGGATCGCCAGTGGTAGGTAGACTTTCGTAGGTCACAGAGTAGGAGGGATTCGAACGGTAGACTTGTAGGGTAGGAGTCCAAACAGTTCAGAGGTCGTAGCTGTAGGTTGTTTGAAGAGTCAAGGTCGTAGCCGCTACTTACCTGAAAGGGCAAAGTCGTAGCTGCTACAGTACCGAAAGGCCAAGTTAGAGACTTCTTTTAGAGTTAGCCTGCGTTCAGCAGAGGCAAGTGGTCAAGTGGTGGTAGTCCACCTAGTACGGTCAGCAGTCCCAGTTAGMCCAGTCCGGTCCAGTCAAGCAAGTACCGTTTGGGACTGTGCACATCGTGGGCCAAGGGATCCAGGGCAGACCAACGCAGCGTAGGAGTATAAATCAAGAGGCTGCGCCCAGCCATTCATTCATTCGTGCGGATGCCATGCGGAAGCGCTGCCTCAGCAGCTTGTGCGAGGAGGTCTGCAGTGTGCCCGAAGACGAAGTGGGCAGAGGAGCGTAGTATAGCGCTAGGGTAGTGGCAGCTAGCGCTGCCATAGCTGTAGTAGTGTGTGTGTGTGTTGCGTGTGGTTACAGAGTGTTGCGTGTGGGAC